CTGGTCAGTATAACTTGTGATGTAGCTCTTTTACGTTTGTTTAAACCAGTAAGATTGGAACCTTTACATGATGAATAGAGGAAATTTCTTCCAGTTCGGTTTTCACATTAAGGAATTAATGCATCAATATCAGCAACGTTCTTCATCACAAGGAGGTAACACCTAAAATCCCACTTTATTTTCAAAATCAGTCTGTTCTCCTGGTATCCTGCAATAACACAAAAAACCATTGTAAAGTATCTATTTATGAGCAAGTATTTCAGGACATTAATCAAAGATCAAAACTGCTTCATTTTTTTTATACATGTCTCATGAGCGATCAACCAATGTTTGCTTTCGTTTTAATTTTGTCTCATGTGCGATCAAATCATTTCTCGGATCGTAATAGTATGTGTGAAATGTATAAATTCGGCTCCTTTTGTTTTTTCAAAGATAAAAATAATTAACAAAGTATTTGGAATGATATGACTACAGTATTAAAGTTTATACGCAGGCAAGATAAGGCAAGATGAACGTACAAACCGCCGAACCATTATTTTTGGCAAGCTTCACTGGTAGGCAATGAAAGCTACAATCCTCTACGTCAAATCCTAAATTGAGAGATCGTATGAAAAATGAACCCCGATACGTAGCAAATATTCCCCCATTTAACTCTTTGGTTTCCATTGCAGCTTATTAATTATAAAATTCAAAGAGAACACCCTAAGTTCCAAACTGGGACCAATTCAGGAATCGGTCTCTTTGGTACATTCAAAGAAGACCCAATCTAATCTCTGTGGGAACACAGAAGAATATAACCCCAAATATAAGCTAGCCTACAATGTGGGGACATGTTCCATTTATATCTTGCCATATCCCGCCATAATGAGTGGGGTATACCCACTCACTGCCAAAGAAATTACCCCTGAAACCCCAAATTAAACTGATTGGTGCAACCTTAAAGTCCCAACCGAGTTTCATTTGTTATTAAAATAATCTAATTTATAACAGATCTTATAATTACACTGAGGAAAAATAACTGGTCCTCCGTGTGTCATGAACTTTTCAAGTGCTCCTTGTACATTATTCAAATAAATATCATTACCAATCTTTGATACATGTGTTCAGTCATATCTAAATAAATTACTTTCTTTAGCACGTATGTTACTGTGCCTAATTGCACATCCACCAATGCTCAGAACCAAGTTTTTGACCCGGTGATTTACTCGTTTACGAGCCTTTTCAATAGCTTGACCACAATTGGCATTGTGCCAGTACCGTCTCATTAATATGTCCAACCATATTATTTTCAAAGCTGGATATAATTCACGTAACCGAAGAAGGTCACATTCTATGTCACTGAATAATTTCTCTGATGTCAATATACCCAAATCATTAGTCCAAAGTTGAATAACAAGGAAACTCGGAAGGGGGCGGTTAAGCAACCTTTGTTCAAAGACTCTATTTAAATCACCCAACCTCATACTACTTTGACCAATCCAAACCATATAAGCACCTGTATTCTGTAGGCCAAGGTGAAGTCCCCCAGGTCTAGACAAAGCTTCTTTATTGGCCCAATATACTGTGGATTATCCTATTAACCAAATTGTTGTGACACCTACAATTGATGTTTGTTTTATTTCAATCAGCGATTTAAAATGTATAGACTTAAATGTTCAAAAGAATGTGCTCTGAAATGTCCATTGATTTTAGACAATGACAAACTCATTTGTAAAATAGACGAAAATTGATAACGAGGTAGACTTGATCCATCAAAATGTATGTATAAATTATTCCCGGGCGAAGGATATCGAATTTGCCAAACTTTCTTTAGTAAGTGATTTGGGACACAAAGGTTTGTCGATTTGCTCACTAATAATCAAAGTTGAAGAAGAGTATATTTGATCTGTTTTGGAACTATGTATACACAGGCGAAGCTCTTCTTTGTGGTCAGATTTGACAATTGGAACGTCTAATATTTGTATAACATGTGCCCCTAAATCAGATTTACTTTCCGCAGCTATCTCACCCACGCGAAGTAAAGCGAAAAACGTAGACTAAAAGCTGAAGCAAACATGGCGGATTCATACGACGAAAAGCAGACCTGATTAATTTCCGTAACAAATCAATTGAAATCGGTACCTGCAAATCGTTTTTTTTTTATTTGACCTTTTTAATCCTTCTAATGTTTTCCCTACTAAAAAGGATTTTGTACTATCTGCTAAATCTTAAATCTTATGTTGATAACTAATTCCTGACATATATGTTAAGACAGTAGAGGCTGACCAACCCCTGAATGAAAGGAAGGCGATGTAAAATATTAAATCGCCAAGAGGGGCTGGCCAAATTTTCATGTAGGTTGTATGCTGTTCGAAAAGTTTTAAAGGATTGGACTGCCGTATTGTATGTTTTCCAAGTTTTTTGTGCCATAGAACTGGTAAGAAGATGGTTTAATTCGATTTTTAAAGTGTCCAAAGGTGGTCTGGAATCGCTGTTCTGTACTGGTCTGCTTATGGGCAAAGGTTTCTGAACCGCTGAAAATTACAACGGGATAATGAATCGGCTATGGTATCTATTTTACCAGGAATGTGTTCTGCTTTTAAAAAGATATTATGTTTCAATTTGAAAAAAAAACAAGGTTCCTGATAAGGGACATAATTCTATTCGACTTAGAAGTTCTCTTGTTTATGATAGTTACAACGGCCTGATTATACTCATAGAAAATTATTCGTATGTTTTTAAGATGTACTCCCCATATATGAAGTGATATAACAACTGGGAAAAGTTCCAAGTACGTAATGTCCATCAAAAAATCATGTTTATGCCCATTTTTCCCGGAAGTAAATGCCAAAACCTTTGTTTTGTCCCCGGCACTGTCTGTAAACAGTTCAAGTGTATCGTTTGAAGTCCATAAACTATCAGTCATGACCGTGACTCCATTATGTTGCTATAAAAAGAGGTCCAAACTTTAAAGACTTCGCGCATGTTGCATGATACCCGTACCCTGTGGTGTGCTTTTCTTATGTTACAAGTAGCATCAATTAATTTTCGGCAAAAGCCCTTTCAGAGGCGGTAACTTAGCATGCAAAGATTAACAACCCTATAAGGGACCTTAATTGAGGCAAGGTTACTTTTTTGAATGTAGAAACAGCTGCAAAGTTTGTTTTAAATTAGTCAGGTATTCCCCTGGGAGCCTCATTTCCATTTTTAAGGTATTAAATTCAATACCTAAGAAGGTCAACATTTGTGTGGGTTGAACGGTTTTGTCTTCGGCTAGTGAAACCCCCAAGTTAAACAAATTTCCGTGAACGTTTCAAGTGTTTTCTGACAAGTTGGACTATTTGCTTCCAAAAAGGAAATTGTCTAGATAGTGATGTATATTTGGATTTCCACTGGTAAGTTTAGTAACCCAAATGAAGCGTTGTTGAGAATTTTTCAAAGAATGAACAGCTGATTGAGACTCCCTGTGGTAAACAACGATCAAATAATACTTACCATCAAAAATGAAACCCAACTAGTCAACATCAGAAGGTGAAACCCTTAATAACCGAAATGCACTCTTAACGTCGGACATTGAAAGTTTTCCGGCTATTCCATTATTTTGGACCAACCTCACGGCGTCGTCAATACCCGAATACTGCACAGAGCAGTATTTCTCATCTATAAAGTCATTCACAGAGTTGTGTAGGGGATGGGAAAGATTATAAATTAAACGATAATCCCCGTTCTTCTTTTCGGCCAAACATATACTAGGAGAAATGCGTAGAGTTAGCAAAGCTGAGTGGTCAAAAGGATCGGTCATTCTACCTAGAGTAATCTCTTTATTTCTGCATGTATAGTCACACTGTTTGAATTGTTTGCATGAACAGGTAAACGTGAACCGGAATATTGCAATTTAAAACCTAATCGAAGACCATTTATTGCCTTTGACGGATAAAATGCGTGTCATATTGTTTCTTTATCTATCTTTGTAAATTATTAACCTTTACTGTTTAGTAATAATTCATATTTCAAATGTTTTTGTACGACCGCAAACATTTTTTTGGGGTTGGTATAATGCTATAATGTTGTCGTCGGCGTCGTCTGCGTCGTCGTCGTTGTCGTCCGAAGACACATTTGTTTTCCGGGCAATAACTTTAGTTAAAGTAAATGGATCTCTATGAAATACTACAAGAAGGTTCAATACTACTAAAGGAAGATTGGGATTGTTTTTTAGGGTTATGGTATTAACAGTTTAGGAATTAGGGCCAAAAAGGGGCCAAACAACAAATATTTTTGTAGTTTCCGGACAATAACTTGTGTTTAAGTGTATGTATCTATCTTAAATTGTACCACAAGGTTCCATATCACAAAGGAAAGGCTGGGATTGAGTTTTGGGGTAATTGCCTCAAATATGCAGGAAATAGGAGCAAAAAGGGGCCAAAAACAAGCAGTTTTCTAGTTTCCAGACAATAACTTGTGTTTAAGTGTATGGATCTCTCTTAAATTGTACTACAAGGTTCCAAACCACAAAGGAAAGACTGCGATTGAGTTTGGGGCTATTACTCCAAACGGGTGGGGGGGGGGGAGGTGATTTTTTCCAATTTTTGTTTGGGGGGGTCATATTTTTTCTCTTCAAAATATTAGAAATTTCAAGTTTCGAAAAGTTTCAAGAAGAAACCTTCAATCTACCTATATTATGTCAAAAATTTGATAACAATCCTAATTCAGACAACATAAAGCTTGAATGTTGTGTCCGAACTTGCCCCAACTGTTCAGGGTTCAACCTCTGTGGTCGTATGAGGCTGCAACCAACGAAGCATTATATTGACATTTTTATTGTGCATACTTCTGCTCTTCGAAAAAGAAAAAAAATACTTAAAATAGCATTATGTCCGATACACGTATCATTGCAAACAGGTTTCTTTCGTTATCTGTTTATAATTTTGTTCCTCAATTTTGAGGCGTATAAAGGATATTGTCCCATATCATGCATATCATCGATAAAGACTTAAACGAAATATAGACATATAGAGATATATTTTTAGGTTACTGGAGAAGCAAAGATAATTGCAAGTATGTTCTTAAACCTCATAGTACTTACTGACTTATTCTTTTATATACACTTTGTACTTAGTTTTAACATGTTAATAATTATATATTATATATCGGATTTTAAAGCGCTAGCTGATTGAGTTGAACTATCTTATCTTGAGGATGTTTGATCAATCGTTTCAAAATGACAAGGAATTTAAAATAATGACATAAAATAGAATATTAACAATTGTTCTTTAAAAGAAGATATAATGGTGGGTGTGTGTCCTTGTTTATGAGATATAATCAATTAAAAATTTGGCGGAAAATGATTCGCTCTAGATTTTTCATACATTTATGATTGTCACCTATTTCCTTTTTACAACTATGCAAACATAATAAGGATTTAATCAGATTTTCAAAAATGGCATTTAAAACTAGCTGTAATAAGATGATGATAAAAAGTAGGGGTTAGCAGGCAAACATTTTTTTCTATGCAGGATATCTGACAAAAATTTAAAAAAACATGATTTGCAAACATCCGCAAAGGAATGGCGAGCAATTACATGCAACAACATAAGAACATTGATAACAACTTAAATGGCATCTGACGTAACTCCAGTTGAGATACATTGATTTTTATTCATCAATCTCGAAGGAATTGACTGTCATCTTTTCAATCAAAAAAAGTAAAATCACAAAAATAATGTACTTAGAGTTAAATTCAAAACGGAAAATCCCTAACCAAAATTTGAAATGGCAAAACCAAAAGCCCAAACACATCAAACGAATGGACACCAACTGTCATATTTCTGAATTGGTACAGGCATTTTCTTAAGAAGAAAAAAGTGGATTAAACCTGGAATTATAGCTCGCTAAACCTCTCACTTGTATGACAGTCGCATAATCGGTAAAAATATCAAAAATATGGGTACAAGAGTCAACATTGTATTATTATCTTAATCACTATGAAAACAAACAAATGTAGAACAAAGAAGCACAAAAATGCACATAGACAAAGCACATTAGCAAAAATGAAAGACAAGAATACAAAAAATTACTATAGCAATATAACACAATGACGGGATGTATAAGTACAGATCTATGTCATGTAACAATAAACACAAAAGGCATATAGACAAAGCACATTAGCAAAAATAAAAGACACAAATACAAAAATTTTACCACAGAACAATTACACAATGACGGGATGTATAAGTACAAAGCCGCGTTATATGGATATCACCAAAAAAAAAAGAAAAAAGAAAAACAGTAAAAGTAATATTCGCAAAGACATATAAAAGAAAACTATAACACGTTATTAACTTTATAAACAACGTCAATTTAAAACCAGCAAATATGTAAACACACATCTACCATGGCACAATAACACAAAGACGGGATGTTACGTACAGAGCGACGTCATATGTAACAAAGAAACACAAAAAGGCATATAGACAAAGCATATTAGCACAAAATGAAAGATAACAATACAGCAATTATCGTAGAACAATAACACAATGACGGGATGTATAAGTACAGAGCCATGTGAAATGTATAAAGAAACACAAAAAGGCATATGGACAAAGCACATTAACAAACAAATGAAAGACAAGAATACAAAAATTATCATCGAACAATAATACTATGACGGGGATGTAGAATTACAGAGCCACTTCAAATGGATACCACCAAAAACAGACTAAACAGTAAAAGTAATATTCATAAAGACAAATAAAAGAATACTATAACATGTTATTATGATGATAAACAATGTCGGTACCCAGAATTTATACTTCAAGACCATCGTGTATTATTTGAGAAGTTGATACGGAATCTTTCACATACCCCTGGTTTATCAACTTTCTCCTCAGACACTGGTGACGTTTTACAAAGTCTGAGTAGTTGCTGAATACCGAATCAGTTGGGAAATGTTTATTCCATATGCAGGTGGAGTTGGTTTATTGCTACTTAGCTGGGGGAAATTAATTTCAAAGTTACAATCGTCTCGTTTGTCATCGATTCTGGTACTGAGATGACTTAGTATGTCAAATTCGAGGTATAAGTCTAAAAGTGAGGCGGAGGATGCCGTGTCTGTTGTTTCTTTAATTTCTAGTTCTGGGGGATATATTAATGGAACCCAATCAGAAAGGTTTGTATTGTTTATGGAAAGAACATCATCAATATATCTGAATGTAAAATTAAATGACCTGCCTTCTTTGATCTTTTTGTTTTTGGAAAGTGTTTGAAGGAACTCCGATTCATATGAAAATAAGAAGAAATCGGTGTTATTAAACAGATTTGAGTAAATATATTTATCAGTAATTGTAAAATGTTCTTTCAAAAAACATGTATTAAAATACTTAAAAATCCTTATGCGTTTCTTTTTTTGCAGAGTATATATAATTGCTTGATGAAGGTGTAGTCTGTTAATGATTGTAATCAATGGTTGGTTTTATGTCCAATACTGATTGATTTTTGCATGGAAAGGCAACATAAATCCGAATAAGATTACGGGGAGAATATCTTAAAGTAAAATGTGAGGAGCTATAACAATGACACACAAGAACAAGAGTCCTCATTTATTATTATATATATATTGTATGATGTTTAATGATCAGACGTATTCATAGTACATGTATACGTAGAAGATAATTTATCTACATGTGTTTCCTTGAGTATTGTAGTATAGAAAGTAAAACTATCATAATTATGTTTACTTTTAGTCTTTGAAGTGGAAGATGATTCAGTCATTAACAAGGTTACTTTTAATATTATGAAGATGGGTCCCTACAATGTGACGTGCACACCTCTAACTAGTTTTGAGAGTTGGGCCAATCACTAAGGAATTAATAGCAGTGACACAGTGCCAGCTCGACGCAAATTATCCGGAAAGTGCGTCGTCTGGTTTGAAGTAGCACTGGAAAACACTGGTAAAGTAAAATTCTTTTAAGAATAGATTTGTGTATGTTGGATTTGAATACTATCATTATGTTTTATTCTTTTTATTTAAGACGTTTAATATGATGTTAAATCATGACTAAAGTTTGTGTTTCTAACAACTGTTTGGATTTTTTACCCGCACTTAGCATTATTTGGTGATCGATGAGATTTTAAACCCACTAGTTTCGTCCCCGAGGGTATTACCAGGCCAGAACATTTGTGTTAGCATAAAATATCGTTCATCTGATAATTTTTTTGAAAAATTATTGCATACTTAATGTTAAATTATACTTATTTCAAAAAATGGTTCTACTTTGTGTCTTAAAAAAGAATAGTCAAGGTAGTATCTTGTCTTATTAGTGATAATCCGAACTTTGTACACAATCACTATTGATGCTGGATAGTCAACATATTTGTAACTTTTGGAGGACATGTCTTATTATCAAACAATCGGCATTAAATTAGAGCTAACTGTGCCACTTCTGTCGATTTGTTCCTTTATTCACAAGAGGCTAAATTTTGGAAAGAATGAAAAGAAGCTAGTATTTTGTTGACGCCACTTTCGACAATAAAGATGATGTCCTCTTTTTCAATAGTTCAAAGTACGAATATGTTGAACACATCCATCCCATTGAACTTGGAATAAAGAATACAACAGTTACAGTTAAGTCTGTCTCATATCTTGACTGACATAAATATGTTACAGTAAATAGATGAAATTAGGAATTACATGTAATTACTATAATTTAGGGATTACATGTAATTCCTGATGCACTTAGTTAATACAAGTAAATCCCGAAACTTCCCAGTTATTACCAATAATTACTAATTTAAAAAAAAAATTTTACACCTTTTTACTAACTGTTAAAACAATGTTGTAACATGGTACGCTGATCAAAATTAGAGTTATACTGGTTAGAAGATCAGTGAGTATTATTAAAAAGTTTTCATTCTAAATTATACTTTTCTGTTATAGGGGCATTAGCAACGAGATATACAAAGAAAATAGATTTGAAATTTTCTGTTGAATCATTAATAAAAATGATATAGTGAAATTATAAATTAAAGCAGCCAATTTGGTTTAGTTTTATCAAAATAAGATAAGAAACATTGCTGATGAGTTATTCACTTGCAAGTGAATAATTCGACCTCATTTAATCCATATTCAGGTGACCTTCAATTTAACCTTTAAGTATGAGATGGGACTACGAACGTATTTAGCTATCAAAAGGAAAAGAATGTCAACATTGAAAGTAAAACAAAAGAGATGTACCATTTGCTTTACCGATTCGATAAAAAAAAGATCATTCTTAAACGCCGATTACCATACTTTTTAATTAACCTACAATTTGAAGTCATATAGACCTAGAAAATTCCAATTGCACGTGGGCGCTATCTGTTTATATTTATGTTTATATCTGGTTTTATGACCACCGACAGGCTTCGGAGGTCATCTCGATGTTTAATTAGGTAACGTTTATACATAAGTACACACAAAATTTTTATACATATTATCGAGTCCGTGCATTGTTAATAGTTTATTTTAGACTTTTTGTAATTTGGATTTAAGTTTTAGTATACTGTAAATCAAATATAAAATTTGAGTCAAATCGGTGAACATGAATTTGATAATTTATGACCCTTTATACTGTCTTAAACATCTTTGTTCCAAATGGACGACGAGAAAGAAAAAAACAATATTTACAGAGGAGTTGTTCAAATTCTACAATGTAGTAGAGTCTAAATGCCAAGGGAAAAGCTAAACACTATAATCAGCAGATTAAAACATTTGTTTAAAACTGAACCAACAAAAAAGACAGGAGATGATTACAATCTTCTCTCAATGTAAAAGATGGTTTTTATGAAATTTCTGTTGTATATCGAATAATTTAACCTTTACAAGCTATTCAACGGTGCGGTTTAAAGGCTACAGTAAAAGGGGGAGGGGGTTTAGTGGAAACATGTGCACTTTTTGCTTTGTCCTACCTTAGCTCCTACCTACTTTTACTGGACCCGTTTAAGGCCCATGCAACATGCAGTGGGGTTAACTAGTTTTGTCGTATACACATCCTCCCCAATTTATCTTTATGATTAATGATGTAAATAAATACAGTTGTAAACACATTATAAAGATAAACCTAGAAAGCACCAAACCCAACAAGAAATACTAATGTCCGTCTGTGTCTGTCTGTTTGCAAATCAGGACCAGGTGCTTTAAGAATAAGTGATCTCGGCTTCTCATGCGACAATATCAATATTTCAATAGCCACTTAACATCTAATAAACATCTTGCAAAGTCTGCCTGATGGAGATTTAATTTTATTATGAATTATTAAGATCATTTAACCACATTTGGTATAATCGCATGTCTATCATCAAAAAGAGCTGGCGAAGTTGCCTATAAACTATTCATAAATGTATTTCTCATATTTTGATTTATATCATTGTCTTGCATGTTTCAAATGATTTTAAGCGAGATTCAAACATTATAAAACAACGATTTTTATGTTTCAATTCACAACAAAACTGAAGAGCATGTAGTCTTGAAGGACCTTTGATTCCATGACCCTCAAGGGGGCTCATGGGTTCAAATTTTCGCGCCTACTGGGCAGGATGTTGCGCAAAAAATATCGAAAGTCATACCTATTGTCGTAATTGGCAATAACAATTAATTTTGATTATTATAAATAATTTTTTTTTATTTGAATATATTACCAAAGAGTGTTGTAATTGAAAACTGTAATTTTAAGATTTTATAAAATTTAATATTGCAATTTTCATTGTTGCAAATGCACTTCCGTTTTGAGAGAAATGACATGTTCTTGCCGGTGAGAGGAGACAATAAAAAGATAATTCATAATAATCGAACACGTGGGCTGCTTTTCATGAATACTAAAACGAAGATCGAAAAAAATAGAACACGATCTTCATTTTAGTAGCTTATGAAGCAGTTTCACACTTGTTTTACACTGGAAATTGACCAGGAAATATGCGTAACTTTTTGTAAACAAAGGAAATATATTGTAATGTAAGTTTTTCTTCTTTTTTAATTTTTAGCGATCTCTCATTTATTGAAGATTATTCGCCGGAATTTTTACATCGTCTGCAAATGATTCCAGCAGAAAAGTGATTTACGAAAAATCATTTGAAAGCGTAAAATTAATGAAAATGATTTTCGGCTAAATTCGTGAAAAACATAGTGACAACCATGAGTGTGGATTATAAATTATATAAAATTGAGAATTGAAACGGGGAAAAACCCGACCAAATAGCAAACAGCCCAAGACCACCAATGGGTCTTCAACACAGCGAGAAAATCCCGCACACGGATGCAGGATCCAGCTAGCCCCTAAACAATAATGTATACTAGTTCAGCGAAAATGGACATCACACTAAATTCTGAAACATATAAATGAACCAAAATTAAAAAAAAAAAAACATACAAGATTTACAATGGCCAGAGGTTCCTGTCTTTGAACAAGCGCAAAAACAAATATTTGCGGCTGGGTTAGACATGTTCTTTATCCTCCCGCTATACCTCTAGCCAATGTTGAATAAGCAAACACGCAGCAATACACACAGCAAAATACATGTAGCTCATGGTACAATGTACTTGTGTTAAACGTTTTGACAAATTATTTACAGATCTTTAATAGGGTTCAGGTGTGTTGACTACATCACCATTTATTTACGGACCATAAGAGTCCAGCCTGGCAGGTGTGTTGTGTACATCAGACACCATAAGTAATGACCATTTGATTTTCGGGAAAAAGGACAGGAGTTTCTTTTGCAAACAGAATTTTCATTTACTCTGTTGTTGTCTAGTTTATTTGAATATGAGTCGTTTTGATCTGATTCCTGTTGTCACATAACATACATTTACTCTCGTTTTCCCCTAAGGTGTTTCTCACTAATTCCTGTTTGTACTGCGCATGCTACTACTGGGTAATCTTGCATGGATTTCTTTTTATAATAAAACTAAGATTAAAAAGAAATTGGTAAAGAATATGAACTCTTTAAACATGTTAAACATTTTATGTACATTTTTTTAGTTATGCACTGTTTCACAGAAAAACTTTGAATTCCAATCCCCTAAAAACATGAAAAACTAATAATTTTGCGCAGCTGTATATATTCTAATTATTGGGGAGTAACCCCACCTCCCCCCTTTTTCAAAAACTCTAGATCCTTACTTGTAGATAATCCATGTAAAATTTGGCACATATCAAGCGGTGTTGAATATTTAATGATACATTATAAGGTGAAGTTCCATATTAAGCTATATCATTTTATACAATTTAGGTATAGAACCACTAATTAAGGCCCGGTCGGAAAGAACATACAAGAAAGTAGTACATATTTTAAACAAAATAGTTCCTACGCATAGCTGTATCTTTGTCAATAGGTGGAATATTTGGGTAGTTTTGGTATCAAATGAAAGCTTGGGGACTTGGGATCACTGTAGAACCCGTGTTGAAAGTTTCTTTTGAATAATAAAGAAGTATATACAATTTTAATAGGAGGGCACATTTGCCCTGTTGTTCAGATCAGAAGTACCTGTTTTTGTACTATCAAACTTCCGGAAACCAGTACGCTCTAAAATGCAATTAAAGGTATGTTGAATTTTTCAGCACAAGTCAGGATAAGGTATAGTTTTGACATGAAATAACTGTTACTTTATTTGAACTTAAGACAAATTAGCCATTAATGCTTGAAATTGCAGAATTTAACATAGAAAGCAATGGGGCTATGAATTAGTGGTTTTATACCTATTACTGAAAGGCATGTGAAATTCTATTTTTAGAAATGACACCCTTTACAATGAAAATTAGTCACATTTGTTGTCAGTAATCATGTTACATTATTTTTTTTATGTAACAATTATGTTGGTGTCAAATTACAACCCTCAAATTGCTACAATAAGGTATATCAGCCTTTTTTGATCATTTAGCATGCACACAGTTAAGATTTTACCTGATGTTTGAATTTT